TATATGTGGCTGTTTGTAACAAAACTGATTTAACTATGGTAAATCCTAATCTATTCCTACACTCCTATTTTCTGGATCCCCTTTAATTCTGCAAGATTAATGTGACCATCAATTCAATTCTTGTTGTTCTACTGTGAAGTACATTTGTCACAAATATACTGTATCTAGTACTGTGGTTTTTCACATGTCTCTCATGCCTTCTTTAAAGTGCAGGCAGATTTATACTACTCTGTTCTCATCGTCTTTCTTCAGTATGTTTTCCTAATCTTTTTTCTTCTTATAACTCTCATACAAATGTCCTTTTTTCCAAGCCTATGTGTTGTCTTTCTTCAGTATGTTTTCCTAATCTTTTTTCTTCTTATAACTCTCATACAAATGTCCTTTTTTCCAAGCCTATGTGTTGTCTTTCTTCAGTATGTTTTCCTAATCTTTTTTCTTCTTATAACTCTCATACAAATGTCCTTTTTTCCAAGCCTATGTGTTTTTCCTTTCCACCTCTGACAATTTTCTTCCTTCCACATCCAAACATCTCCATCCCTTGTTAAACTGGAATAATTACTGTACAAGACATCTGTATTCTTGTGTGAAAAGAAAACAAATGAAGGAGAGAGAAAGAGAGTGAAAGCCTATATGGGTATACAGAAAAGGATAAAAGTATGTGGTTAAAAAGGGCTGGAGTTGCACCCTACATTACAAATTCAGATTGTATCTGATTTGCATCTGATTTGCAATTTTAATTTGTAAAATACTTAGGAAGTTAAAGGGTTAAGAAACTATGTTGTATTTATAAAAGCCTTAGCAAATGCAAGGTGATGATCTTTAATATCATTTTTTCCTCTTTGTGCAATCGACTCAAACCACTATTAATTTCCTTTTGTTAAAACAGGATGAAGTTCATTGGGTCTATATTTTTTATATTGACCCCCAAATCTTGAAACATGTTCAAGCAAGTGATTGCTCAAGTGTAAACCTAAACTTATTTTCAGTTATTTACATTGACAAGGAAAGATTAGGTATTTACATAATATTGGCAGATACTTAACTAAATGGAAATAATTAAAAATAGACAGAATAGATCAGAGAAAATGATATGAATTGTTCATATAATCTGCATTAATCTGGTGCTGTTTCAGTAGCATCCAAACTTTCTGTGATGATTTTTAATCTGAAAACAGGGTTTAGATGAATAAATGAGTATCAAGTGAAAAGAGCTAGATGGAAGTCTGTGACCTTTTATGTAAAGGGCCTATATTCATAAATAGAAGCACTTTTTATTCTATACTTGGCAATATGTAAAATGTTTAGTTATTTGTTATCTTAACTGGATTAGTACAGCTGCTATTTTCTGGAAATGGCGAGACTATTGCTGTCCTTGAATTACACTTATGAGTCTTGATTTGACTGTGTATACAGTATTAGTCACATGGACAGAATTAGCACCATCTGATTGTGCTGAAAGATTCACAACTTTCTAGTCAGAACACAGAAACTAAGGATACTACTCCCATGTACTCCAACTGCATTCACAGATCAGTTTTGTTGTCAGAAAAACTATATTTCACCCACCTCTATAGACCAGAATTAATGACATTGATAATTTTTATGTGAAAAGATCTAGAGATGAGATGAGTCAGGAACTGATTTTATAAGGAACTTTTCCACTCACAAATCTTTAGTTTTCCCCCTAAATGTGTAAACATACATGAAGGCTATTATCCCAGGACAACTTACCATGTAAACAATCAGATATCTCGACATTTTTTGTCCATTAAAGGGAATGGATAGAATTCATAGTCCCTATAATGAAGTATCAAAAATGAAATGAATCTTGCATGTAGAACATCATCTTGAATAACGCTCTGGTGTTCATTTTTATTCACATATATGTTATGGTAAATTGTAACTGGATATAACTTTTTAGTACATGTATATACTATATGCAGTAAAACAATAAAATGCTTGAAATGGATATGCGCTTTGCAGATACTTCTTCCCACTCTCCTCAGGGAAAAACATTACTGGGTGAGGGTCTGCTTTCTGCTTACCATTGGAAATAGCAACCGTGTGCATTTGGTTATCCACAAGGGTAATGTTCCTCTGCACAATCTACACACACACACAAACACACATACACACAGCAGCTGTCCATGAGAAGCTTCTGGTCTCTCTGGCAATCACAGCACAAATGACCATGGAAGTACAGAGCCAAGAGACCATATTGGATGAGAGGTGGTACTGCAGTAGGCCAGCTGGAGCCCAGAAAATTGCTGAACTCTGAACACTTCTCATCTAGGCCCCACATATTGTCCATACGGTAGGCCTAGTGGCAGCATATCATGGAAAACACCTTAGCCCAACTTCAGCTTGCTTTTGCAGCTGGCTAGTCATAAGTCCTTTGTTGTAAGGACATGTCCTCAGCAGATGGCATTTTTGTACTGTGGCAAGCTGGCTGTGAGAAATATATTTAATTCAGATATTCTTAAATAAGAGATAAATGAAATATTAAATGAAATACAATCACTTTAGTAATTTTCAGTCACTTGTTCAATTTAAAGGGTATATTTTTTAAAATATCTGCATCTATTTGTTTGCTTATAAAAATTTCATGACTATTATTGACCTGAGTTGTTGGTTTGTTATAATTGCCATATTATCAGAAAAATTTATTAAAACAAAAATCCATAAAAATTGATGTATTGATTAAAAATTGATTAGGAAAACAAATATGTATCCAGGAAGCTTCAGGCCTCAGGTCTTGAATTCTGGAAGAAGGAATCAGATGCTTAAATTGCTGCTTTCTGACTAGATATAGAATATTTTTCTGAAGTTATGACAAAGGGTAAAAAACAGTGTGTAAGGTCAGATTCTTACATTTTCCAAAATCACATGAAGGCAATACAAAGGAATAGTCCGAGTTATAGTATCAAAGGGCTTCCTACTTTCAAAGATTTGTAAATCCCAATACATGAAATTTCAACTATGGAAGAGGTAAAAATATTTCATGTGACTGTGTTCTAAAATAATAATCCTCATAAAAGTTGGCATTTAGCAAATAAATTATTAGCATAACAAACTGACCTATGCATTTCCCTAGTTCCATTTAATTATTGTTCTATAGATTATTTTGTTCCATATTCAGCTTCATTCTCTTTCTGATTTCATATGGAAAGTGTCATTTTTTTGGAAGCGGTCTGTGCCTGGTTTCCCATCATTTTTATGGGATTTTTTTAATCTCAAAGTAATCCATGCCCAAATAATGGTGTGTTTTTAAACTGCAGTTTTAAAATTTCAAAATATGTATCAAACATATGTGTATCTGCATAAAAATTACAAATACAGGCAGTAACTTTTTAAAAATCAGCAACTGGTATAGATTGAGACTCATAGAAGTCATGTCACTTACAATTAGAATTCAAGCATTACAGCGACAGCTGCATCAAAAGCACTTCTATCAAAAGTTTACAAGTTGTATATAATTAAGTGCCAAAACATTAGAATGTCAGATGTTTCATGGGTGTGTGTGTGTGTGTGGGGCATAGCAATTCTTATTCACAGTCCTATCTACTGCAAGATTTCATACATAATTTCAGTCATGTGTGCAAATGCATTATCAAACCTCAATATTTCAAAGGCTTGTGTGCAAGATTGACATGGAACAGAAAGGTTTGGCAAGACTAAACTATAATGCAGAAGATTTAGACATTATAACTGAAATAATGTTAGGTATTTAATTACTGAAGTGCTCATTACCGAAGTACTCTGTTGCCAGAATCTAGGAAGAATGCATTCCTGTGACAGGATTCTTTATATATATGTAAAGTTTTTACATATAGCTATACAAAACTATATAACTATATATAGTTTTTAGAATTTTTTAACAGAATAAAAGCCATAAGAAAAAATAAAAATAAAGAAAAATAGTAGTGAGAAAAGAAAATAGAAAAAGCAATAGAAAAGGAAATAGAAAGGGAAAAAAGGAAAATGAAAAAAAAAATTATGAAGAAGCAGCTTCCAATCTTCTTAACAGAGGCTGTAGATACATTTATATTTTACCCTCTCTTTCTAAGGTTACGTCTGTGACAGGGTTCTACTTGTTCAGTTGTGGTGCAGAACAGGGAAAACACTGAGGGAGAAAACCTAGTTGACTGAACTCTGGAGAAGTCAAGCACATCTCTCCATGCTGTACTGTTTAGGACCAAGACACAGCTTTCAAAACATCTATTGAGAGGACCCCTAAAATATCAAGGGCAAGCCAAATTTTAATGTTTAGATGTTATTTATTAAAATAAATAACTTACTATATTAATTTTGTCCCTTATAACCCTCCAAACTGTCTCAAAAGCAGGCAGAAAAATTTTGGTCCTGCCCATCAAGTGATATCATCACATGACCAAACTCTGTAGTCTCTGAAAGTCAAACTAAATTGGTTTTTGTTTGGTTTTTCAACTCTGTTTTCCAAGTGTTCCATCCTTTTGTTGGATATGTATTTATGAATTGGAAACTATTTCATTCGGTCTTTGACCATTAATAATGATCATCTGCAAACTCATTGGTAGAAATGTATTTTTTAACACAAACTTCTGCTGCATACCTGGAGAGTTCCTTGAGTATGCAAAATTCTTTCTGTGTCTGGCCTCATTTCATAGCCATATTGGTAATCTAGCTGAAGTGCATCCTTGGGCCACCACTTTTCTTATCTTAGTTATCACTCACTTTACTGCATAGGAAATCTAGACCAGGATCTTAGAAAAGAACTTAGTGTCATCCAATCATTTACATCAATTACATCTAAATAAATATAAAAAAATAAAAAAATAAACAGGACAGAATACTGCATTTACTCAAACAGCATACAATACACTTCAATTTTATTTAAAACATGTTTTGCAAGATATAAAAATATTGATCACAGTGAAATTTAAAAATTGTTTCTGGTATAAAAAAAGGATTGCATACAGTATCTTTAAAAGAAATAAATTATGTAATCATTATCTTTTTTAAAAAAAAAATCACAATGAAGAAAATTTAGGCTGCTTCATCATTGGCAAATTAAATTCTCCATAATGAAGAAAATCCCAGGTTTTTAAAAAATTTACTTCCCATGTGTCTCAGAGTACAAATGTGTCTGTTTCCAATAATATTATAATGTCTCTTCTGCACAGTAAATCCAAACGTTAGCAGTCCAGTTTTTTAAAAAAAATAGAAACAGGAAAAAATGTACATCAAATGACATTGTCTTTTCTAATTGATAAGTGGTCTTTTCCAGTATGTGGGTACACAGCGGCAAACTTCTTCACTATAATAAAATCCAGAATCACAGCGTTTTGTTCGAACTGTACAGGGTGGTCTGTAGCAACTGAGAGTAAATGGGAAAAAAGTATGTTGAAAAAAGGTGTAATACATGTTACAAGCACTTAAAAAAACCAACAACGGATAGAACTATTTAAGGTAAGGTATGGTGAGTTGTAGGTTTCAATTCATTTTTTTTTCAGGGATATGTTTTATTTTCTTGGTACTTGGGAGTACACCCTGGCCGTTGCATTTTTGCATACAACCCTAGGTTATTAGCTGCTTTGACTCTGGATTAGTGAGCAATAGGGCCTCCATTATGTCATAACTGCAATAGTAGCCATCAGGAGGTTCAGTGATCTGCCTCGATCAGCATTTTTGCTGTGGGAGTTAGAAAACAGAGACTAAACAGTGAACTGTAACAAAACCATGCTCAGTGGCAGCATGTCACTGGATACCAGTTGCTCTGGCAACTGTGCTGGATGGAGACATTGCTTTCATGCTTGCTTGTGCCACTTGACTGGCCACTGCAGGAAACAGGATGCTATATTCAATGGATTTTTTTATCTAGTTCTCCAGATTCTCCCTTCTACTTCCTTCTCACAAGCAGGATTCTTCTTAATACAATGCAACAAAACCAATATAGATTCTATTGACAGGGAACATTTCTGATACAGTATGTAAATAAACCATAATGAAAGTTAAACAAAATGCGCAGAAATGCATATTTCTGTTATATATACTTTTATAATTTCTGTTATACATGCTGGCACATTTCCATTTATATGAGAGGGAGGGAGGGAGGG